GTCAGCTTTATGTTATTGGATAGGGTAACATGAGTGCACATGAGCCTTGTCATTGTAACTTCTGTATTGTTAGCCAGGTGAAAGGTCAATGTAATAAAAATATGTATGTGTGTGTGTGTGTATATAAATGTGTAATGTTATGAGATTTAAGCTATTTAGTCAACATTTATGTTTTCGTGTTATAATTGTGTTAGAATGAGAGAGGCATAATTGATATTTATTTCCTAATTTTTATGCTGGTTGCGAGATTGATCAAATCTTCCAAACCCATACAGAGATTAATTACTGAAAATAACAGATAAAATATAAAGTTTTTTCTTAAGAAATGTTTGATTACTGTCTGGACATTATAAATATTTCACATGTGAAATTTCCAAATTTTCTGATGCATAAAATTATTTTCAATCTTAAAATCAAAATTACTTTGCATGATAGGTAGGCAAGATGTGAAAAGAAAAAAAGGCATGAGGAAAACATTGTTTTACAAACCTTAAGACTTGATTTAAAAAAAATTGATATTTTGCATATGAAAGCATTATAATGTTTACTCATAATATGCCAAATTTCATTAACATTTGCATACTGATTTAAAAGTTATAGCATGAACTATAACTAGCACAAAATGGTTACGAGGTCGGTCCCAGGGATCGAGCCCATGCTGAAAGAGTTAAACTTTATTACAAGTTTTTTTTTATTACTTATTCAGGCTATTTCTAACCTACCTTATCTCAAGTTATCTGGTATTGTTTCATTAAAAAAATATTTCTGTAGTTTCCAAATGGATATAATTTAACATGTGTATAGTTTCAAAATTCACAAATGAAAGCACACTTTTCAAAGCTCTATTTTATGTAAATGATCAAGCTACTTGATGTGGCATTATAATGAGGTTTCAACCAAGGTCTGTACAGAAACTAATGGAAACATTTGAAAATCAAGAAATGGATAATGTATTCTCAGGAGTGACAGGTTCTCAGCAAAAATAGTTACTTATGATGAGCAGAAAATTTCTAAAATAAATTGATAAGTACATTATTTTGTTTTCAGGCAAAATTCTTTGCAGCTGTGTAGAAATGAAAATATGAACTATTTTCTTGGCAAAAAATTACAAAATGTAAATTTTAAAATATTTTTGAGTTAAAATTTGGATATAGTTATAATTAACATAAGAAACCCACTTAAATTTGCCTCAAAATATTTTATCAAGTATCAAAAAAATATAAAAAGCCAGGGGAAATCCTGCCTTCAGAATTAAGGTACAATGATTTACTTTTATGAGTTACTTTTTTTTAACTCTGAACTTGGTATATGATCTGATAAGTCTCATTCATTTGTCACTCACCTGTTGCTAAAATACTGTGTACACATTTCCAGACTTGTTATTTCAAACAATTCAGTATTGTTTTACATATTCATAAGCTTGTTTATGGCAGTGTTTGAAATAAAACTTACAGACTGGATTGTCCAGCAGACAACCTTTGAGTTAATTATGGTTGTCTACAATAAACTATAGTTGTCCACAGTTGAATGATCAAGTTAGTTGACTAATAAAAATTACAGACTTGGTGTTACATTGTCCTAACTCAAAGAACATAGTAGAAAGCTCATTATTTGATATAAAATCATGATTTTGTTGAGGAATTTCAGGAACAGAATATGACCCCTTTCACTTCATCATGATTGGCCTCTTTGCCAGGAATTTTGGAAATTTTTTTTGCATTTTTGATTGTATTTGCAATCAACCTCTTTTTGAAGGATTCATGTCTGCTTTGTCTAAATTTTTATCTTTGACACATAAGTAAAACAAAAAGTCGAAGTTTGCTTAGCCATTTCAAATCTACAACATATATTGAAAATGATATCTAAGTTTAGTGTACCAAAACATGCAAAATTTAAATGGTGGAAACAAACGTGGTGTTGTAAAAATCTTTCGAGTGGCAACCCATTATTAGTCATAAATTGTGACAGGTTTGCAGATGTTATAACAAACATTCATGTTGGTAAAAAGTCTGTCCCATGGACATACAACCTAGACTGCCATGTTCCTGTTGTACTACAGACAACATAGTGCATTTGAGCTGTCCGGTGATAATTTTGGTTGTCTTGGACAACTTGAAACAAGTTATTTTGAACACTGGTTCGTGCTTTAACAGTTTAAGTGTACAATTACTCGTATGCTTTGTAACAAATCATGGGAAATGAATAATCATAACTAATTTTACTTATTAGGCACATGAGTACTTAGTCAAAATAAAAATCTAGTATTGTTTTATATTTGTCAAGTAACTTCAATTTAAAATCAAATAATGTAAAAATGAGATAAACATCAATTTATTATGTAAAATAAAACTTTTAGTGCTTATAACTTTATCTAAAAAGTTTTAAATCCAATATGGAATAAGTATGAAACTAGAAAGTCTATTCAGATAATATTATTGTGTTAACAAATAATGTTTAACTTCTCCACAAAAGCTGCACTAATGTTTAATTTTTGTAATGATGGTATGATATGAGTTGACTTTTCAAAAGTTAGCTGTTTAACCAAATTTTCAGCTTTTTTTCCATGAAGGAAGAACTTCCACTATAATAATATAGTATTCTGGATCAATTAGCATTTGATCTGTAGTTCTAAAGTAACCTAAATAAGTCAATGCTAAAATAATGGTAATATATATTCTTAAAAATGTATTTATCATCAGATATACAGAGTATGGTAGCTATGTTTACAGCATTTAACCTGGTGAAATGTTAAATAAGTTTTTAAATTTTGCATTTAGTTAATATATTATGTAAATAACTGACTTGATCAAGTTATAATCCAGCAATTTCATGTCTTATATCTTTATTTCTAGTAATGTGATTGAAATGAAAATAAAAAAATTGCAAACTTTTTAATTAAAATTTAATTGTTATAATTATTTATGATTATAATTAGAAACTAAAACTACAGCATTGGTGAAAAGGATGCATGTTTTCAAAATGTGTTTAAAAAGTTATTTATACAGCCATTCCACTTGCATTTTCACTTATCTTGGACATTAACAATAAAAAAAAAAAAGTCTTCCTCCTGAGAATTTTAACTTACAAAAAAGAAAAGGTTAATTGTGTAACAAGTTTATGTTGTAAAAGTTGCAGGTGTCCTAAACAATATTAATTGATGACAACAAATCTCTAAATTTTAGATATTGTTGGAATAATTGAAAACAGTAATAATCAAGTCAGCTAATTTTGATTAGTTGATTATTTTTGTGACATTGACTAACTGTAATTTTGAATAATTTATTAGTTTATGAGACTAATTGATGTATTTGCTACTTATTGGTAATCGATTATATTGATTAAGTTGTTAAGCTCTATTTAATAGGTAGAATGGTCTAGATGGACCAGCAAGTTACTTGCAGTCCTTATATTTTCTATTACTTGTTTGGTAAACAAACACTCAATCATCTTATGGGGAAGAACCCTTTGTAAAACATGTGTTGGAAAAATAATAGTTTAGTGAAGAAACTTGCCAAATAAATATTTTTACCTTTAAAACTTTTAGAACAGATAAAAATGCCACTTGGATGTTTTTTATGGTTTTTTTTTCTTCATCATCACTTGGTCATTAGTTGAATGTGTTTAAGAGTTAGTTGGAGTAACAACTTTATCGTATATTTTCAAGCAGCATGTTTGCAGGACCACCAGGACATTATCCCATGAGCTCTGCTGGAAGGCTACCTGTTCCTTCTGAACATGTTAGTACTGCTCCACCCTCACTTACTGAAAACTTGCAACCACAGTCCTTGTCCAGTGAAGAAATGAATAAAACAAATAACCTCATTGGTCCACCAACACAACCTAGCATGAATTCTATGAAACCTGGACATCCACCACTACCTGGTCAGTTGAATCTTAATCAGGGTCAATACTCATCATCACCACAGCAACAAAACAATCACCAGTTACCAAGAGTGAGTGAAACAGGAAACTACAGTTCACCAAGTTATCCTGTGCAGAATGGACCCAGATTATCCTCACCATTTCCTCAGACTTCACAGTCTGTATCTGGAGCTGGACATTATCATGTAGGAAGAATGTTAGGGCCAGGACAAATGCATTCTCTTAATGGTGGTTTTTCAAGGAGTTCCTTGCCAAGACAGAGTTCTCATCCTCGTTATCCTGTACATAACCTATCAGTGCCTTTATCAGGTTAGTGAATTTAAGTGTTTGGCTTCACTCTAGAAGAAAAGGTACGATAATTTAAATTTGAGTTCATATATTTCTTAAATATAAACATGCATCAGTTATTTTGTCTGTCCAGAGCATCCAAGTATGTGTTTTTAATGTAAAAATATGTTTGAAGTTAATTCAAAAATTTCCTAACTAGATTCATTTTATCCTTTACAACAAAATTTGATTTTTAAAGAAATTTTGAATTTTCTAATGAGATGGCACTCACTTTTCAAATGTTGGGATATGTGATAGTAATTGGAACCATATGCTTTATATCTCTTTATCAGCCATTTAATTGGTTGAAATATAGGCACTAGTTATTTATTGTTGATATGACCAATTTAGCAAGGTTTATTAATCATAACAATTGTTATTTGTTGTAACAGTGAAATATTTTTTTTTCATCACTATACAATGCAATTCATATACCTATTCGTGGGATAATAAATTTATTTCTGTATAATGTTTCCTTTCTAAGAGTGTGATATGATCACTTTGTACCTTAAATGTTGTACATGATCACATCTCACTGTTAGAAACTAAATATTCTACAGAAATAAATTATTATCCCACAAGTAACAGTCTCAGAATGTCATATTGTTTCTAAGTTAAGTGGGTGTCTCTTAAAAAGCAAATTCATATACCTGTTTGAAGCTGCAAGAACCACATCATTTAATTTTGAGCAGTATGTTTCCAAAAGATTACATTCTAAGACTACAATAAAGAAGTATTTAAGGGGACTTTAACTTTTCTATCAGGTGCTATGTGTTGAATTCTTTTTGTTTTCAAGCTAAAAATTTTACATATTTTTCTCCACCATTTGTTGTATTGTATGTCAAATGATGGGTGTTTTCAATGAAAAATATTATGTAAAAGTACATTACTTATAGTTCTTACCATTAATTACTTGGTGATTTTTGTTAACAACAATCTTGTGTTTTAATAATGTTTGAGATAATTTTTATAAAGCATATTTAATTCTATATTAGTGAATTTTATGCTAAAGTGTAATTAGTTTTCACCTTAAAGGAGCTAGAATTAATTCTGTTCAGGAAACTCTTGATTATTGGAAATTATAGTGTAAAATATATTTTTAAGAAGAGGTTCAGAGGCAATCCAGAATATGAACGGTATTTATTAAATGATATTTAGCATTATTTTAAAGTTTTCTGTCTGATTATCTGTGAAATTTCTTTGCTTTTATTTTTTGGGAGTTTACTGCAATTTTGAATGACAGTATTCTAATTTGTGTTGTGTATTGGGGCATTCAAAAATCATATGATAAGGTGCCACATAAAATAATAACTTGTAAACTAGACTTATGGAGTAGTTTGAATGGTCTAATTTATTATTTTTTGGCATAAAGCAAATGGTTGTGATAAATGAGCATTTTTATAATTGGAAAATGCAACTTGTGAGGCCTCTCAGAGGTCTGTTTTGGATAGGTTTGTAAATAAAATTCAATGATGATACCAAGATATTGGGAAAGGCTGATATTTTTGAGAATATTTTGCTAATTTGGTAAATTCTTAATTGGTCAGAACACAGAAAATGAATAATATATATATATATATATATATATATATATATGGTAAAACTATCAAGCTTAAAGTTATGGTGTGAATACTGAAAGTGAAAGCTGGTGAAGCATAAGAAACCAATAGATGTATAATTTGTGATAAAAAAAAAAATCATACCAACTGCAGATGTGATTTTCCCACATTCCTCTTAATTTGTCCATTGTGTATTCAAAATTAGAGGCACTTTTAAACCATAACTTTTAAAATATGATACTATACATATAGCATTCAAGATAATGTTTTATCTCATCTTCAGCCCAACTGATGAGTTCTGGTATTGAATAGTAGGTCTCTTGGTAGAGCTGGGTGATCAATGGAATTTGTCAGTCAATTAATTTTCAGATGCAGTAATCAGTTACATTCATTTAATTGGTTATTCCCATAAGACTTCTATAATTGGAATATCAAAAAATGGTAATAATTGGAAAACTAATTTCGAGTAGTTGATTATTTTATGTGGTACAAATCAATGTCCAGCTCTATTGCATTAACTTGTAGAGCTGAACTGTTGTTTTTATATGCCTCTGATTTTAAATCTCCGATAAACATATGAAGAGGAATGAGTTAAAAACATCTTCAGTTAACATTTTATCAGAAATAATAGGCCTATTGGTTGCTTAAGTTTTGATCCTTGTGGCTTTCATGGCTGAATGGGTGGTCTCGATGGGTTGAATAGCCATCTATCTACTTGCTAATTTTCATGTTGTAATAGTAAATAATGGTAACATGATCACAAAATCTCCACCATCTGCCATAGAAATTAAAGATTCAATTGCTGACAGGTAATAAAATTGATTTAACCTTTGAAATGATCAAGTGTAATTGACAAAATCACGTGATTGTAATTTTTTGTAAATGTGGCAATTTTTTGTTTGTTTTTGATTTTAGAAATTCCAAGCAGTACTGGCCCTTTACTACCAGCTCCTTTCCCTGTCCAGAACTGGACACATACCACTAGTCCAGGAGGAACACCTGGACCCTCAGGTAAGAACACAATACCACAATCATCTCATTTAATACATAATGCCTCTGTAGCTCTCATACAGACATAATTTAACACGCAAATGCTTTCACAATTTGCAAAAAGGAATATTCACAGAATCTATTTAAAAAAAACAACAAAAAAACTGAAAAGTCTGGAACCACAGGCACTTCAGTGAATTTTACAGAATTTGTTCCATATGCTATCCTTATAATTCTAAACAAGTTTGGTTTAATAGCAGGATTAACTCAACTTTCTCATGTTTTGACAATGTCATAATTATCCAATATCTGAAATAAAAAAAGCTGTAAATCATGTATGGTTCCAGACTTTTTGGACACCCAATATGTTTATATGTAATCTTCTGCTTTGTGAAGGTATCCAATCATTTAAACTTTATAGCTGTTTTCAGAGCTGTTTCATTATTAAATGATCAAACCATTGGTGTGGAGCCATAATAAGATGGCACACAAGGCCTTTAAAACTAAGGCAAATGTTAAAATCACAAAATGGGTAATATATTCTCAAGGGATGATAGGTTTTTAGCAGAAATGTTATTCTTTGAGATGTGCAGAAAAATTCTACAAAGAATCAACAACTTCAAGTTGGGTTGTTTTGTTTCCAGGCAAAACTTTTTGAAGCTGTTTAGAAATGAAAATATTAACTTTACCTTCATGACTTACAAAGTATTGATTCAGAAATATTTTTGAGTTAAAATTGTTTTTATGCAATTAGAATTGACATTTAAAATTGCCTTAACTTTCTCAGCATGGGCTCGGTCCAAAGGACCGACCTTGAAACCATTTTGTGCTTTCATATGTCAGAAAAACACGTAGGTTCAATAAGTTTTGATACAAAATGAGAAAAACCCTATAACTCGAGCACTTTCGTATGCAAAATATAATTTTTTTTTCCTATCACGTTTTAAGATTTTTTAAGCAATGTTTTTCTCATGCCTTTTTTCTTTTTGAATGTTGACTATCCAACATGCAAATTAATTTTGATTTTAAGATTAAAAGTACTTTTATGCATCAGAAAATTTTTAGATTTCACTATCGTATCTCTATGGATTTGGTCAATTTTGACTGGCCTCATAACCACCATAAAAAAAAAAAAAGGAAATAAATATAAGTTATGTTTTTTTCATTTTAGAATGACTACAGATTACAACACAAATGCTTAATCTAAATAGCTTAAATCTCGTAACATTATACATTTATATATAATTATTATTTGTATTATATTGACCTTTCAACCATACCTGGCTAACATTACAGAAGTTGCAACGAGGCGGAGCACATGCACTTACGTTACCATATCCAAGAACATAAAACTGGCCATTATGAAGCGACCTGTCTTGGCTGTGTTTTAGTGGACTAGTATTTTGTAAAATACAGTCACATTTCAGTTATAATACATTATATATGTATATACATTATTACTATTTACAAATAGGTTTTTAAACTTATTTTTCTTAAAACATAAAGAAGTATAGGAAACAATTATATTAGCTACATATGAACTATGTACTCGTTTGCCACTTGCCGTAATTTGATAAGCCTTGTCAAATTTTGGTCCTGGAGGATGTGAAACAAAATAATTTTTCTTAAGTTTTATATATACATTTTGAAATAACCAAAAATCCTTAATTACTATATCAATACCACAGAATTCCACTATAATTTATCAAGCTTAGTAACCAAGATGTATATGGGTCTAAAAAAAATATGAAAATTCAAGCTTGTTCTTACCTTACTGCTTGGAATCTAGCATAGAAAGAAAGAATTTACCATGCAAATACTTTGCAGAGGCTGAGAAAACCACTAGGGGACATTCTGAGATTTCGATTGGGCGAAGTAGGTGTACGTGACCAAGTATTTTCAAAAATTGAAGAGGTGGGCGGTGATACCTTAGTTGATTCAATAAATATATTAATATCTCAGAAAATAGAAAAAATAGTAGGTTCTTATTTTAGATTCTAGCTTGTCAGTATCGGTAATTTGAGTATCTAATTCATAAGAAACTATATTTTGTATTTGGACATCGTAGACATCTGATTTGAACCAATGCTGCATTCAACATATCACGTGACACACACAAATTGATATTTAGGTGTTTTTTTCAATATCTCCTTTTAAATTAAGAAATTAACTAATGTATAATGCTAATAGATGAATTATAATCTGCAGTTTGATACCAGATTTATAAAAATAGTAGTTTAATAAAATTTTGAATGTTTATCAACAAATGCGATGATGTGGCCTTTGGCAAAAATATATGAAACAGTAACTCTCTTAACATGGGCTCGATCAATTTGACTCTCCATATAACCTCTGTGTAATCGATTAAAGTCTATAGATTTAATACTTCTAACTTTCATTATAGTGTGTATATCTTCACAAAAATCATATTTTTTAGTAAATTATTTTTAATAAAATAAAGATTTTTCAATGAATATATTGAGTATTTGTTTTGAATAGTCCGCGTGAAAAGTAATTTTCATGTTAAAATTAAAAATACTTTTCCTCATCTCAAAAATCTCAGATTTCCTTTTTGTGATCCCTAAAACTTTCTAATGCATTCGTAACCACCAAAAAAAATCAAAATAAACCTAAATTACCCTTTTTTTTTTCTTTCTAGAATGATTTCAATTGTAACATGAAACTACATTCGTTTATCCTAAGTATCTCTAAGTTCATAACAGTATACTTCTGTTTATAGTTAAATTATATTGTTTTATTGCACTTTGAACCGTGTCTAACTACTATCCGCACCATTATAAGTTGTAAATAACTCGGGGAATGTGGGGCTCATGTTATGATATCGATTTACATTACCCATGAGTTGCTCCTGTGTATGCCTCTTGAACCATTTTGATTATATTATTATTATCACTTTTACCTAATCTAGTCTCAAATAACTTAAAAAAATACATATTTTTAAATTTTAGTTACTTTTATAATAATAAATAAAGAATAAATATGAAAAACAAGAAATAAAGTCCTTATCCAATTTTCTTTTTTCTTGCTCTCAGGTTTGCGACAAGAGTTAACCCTAATTTTATATAATATAGATAGTAATGCACTTAATTTTTATTTAATTAAATAATGCACCAAAGAATATAGACTAATAACATGCAAAAAAGTAGACAAATTCCTTACCTCTCAAAACTTTCCTGGCTTTCTAACTATGCGACAGGAGCCATTACAAATTCATTAAAGCTAGTTGTTAGCTTTCCCTGGGGAACGAATCTTGTACTGTGAGTGAAATTGATGATATTCTGTTCAGAATACAACCTTATACAATACGTCATTTGATGGATGAAAATCTTGACTTTCTATTGGTTATAGGTAATATATAATAAAACATAAGAGAGAACTATCAACGAATTGTGAAAGAGATGATGTGATAGGTGGGTTTGGCAAGAGAGGACTGATTTTCTATTTGATAGCTTTGTAACCAATCAAAACTGAAGGCTATAAAAATTATAGTTTGTTTGAGCAATAACAATTTTATAGAGGATATTTTACATTTAATCATTTAATTTCTTACTTTTTCGAGGGGTGATGGATAAAATAGGGATGAGGACATGCTAAGAGAAAATGTCACATGGGTCACACTAGTGGAAATTCAGGAATTTTTTTTAAATATTGCTTTGTAGAAATAAGAACTTAACTTATATACTATTAAAATATAGATTATTAGCTAAGATTACCATAAAACATCACCAATAATATATTTTTAAAAACGACTGGTTTCAGCTGTAGGTCTTCATCACATTTCAGTTAGTTAAATTCTTATTTCATTGTAGGAATTAAGATTATTTTTCAAAACATGTTCAAAAATAAATACATAAGATTTGATAAACAATACTAATGTTAATAGAAAAGGTCAAATAAATGTCAAAGCTTGCTAGATGGAGTACTGATGTTAGACATTTTCCAAACATATTATTCATACATGTTTCATATTATGAGAAACATTGTTAGAGATCCATACATTGAGTAACTGCTACTCAAAGCAGGGACAGACCCAGCACTGCTGATAAATTTATTTCATTTTCATTGTTTACTTTACTTTCATAAGTATACACTACTTGTAACTTTAGTAACAAAATTAATTATAAAGCCTCCAAAAGTTATTATGAGTAGTTCAGTTGGGTTAGAAGTAAAAGTGGTATGATACGATACGAGTATCATATCATGAAGCCTTAATACTATTATGTCGTACATCGTCCAATACGACACTATTTATGTATTTTCATGAAATTTGGCAAGCTTTCATTAAACATTATAAGTCTTTTGTACAGAAAAATCAGAATTTTTAATAAAGTATTTTTGCTAAAAATTAATGATTCAGTAAAGGAAGATGAGTATTAAGTACTACATTCTGTCTTCGTATCTTTTATCAAAGACATTATATGCAAAGTAACATAACAAATTAACAATAACAAAATAGATACAGATACTATTTTTTTCTATTTTATTTCTCTTGCCAGTTGCCATTTAGTTGATAAAACCTGAGAATATGAAAAAGCACTGTAAAGTGAAGTACCTAATAAGGCAATGTTAGTAATATAGATAATGACTTACGAGACTGTCAGACTTTGTAACAAACCCTTGGTAAAAGTTCTGTATCTAGATATGTGTCGTATCAACTGCTATGATGAGATACGCACCCCTAGTTATAATCCAGTAATTTCAAAGCTTATATTTTTATTTATAGTAATGTCATTTATATGAGAATAAAAACAAACTTTTCAAACTTTATAATTCAAATTTAATAGTTATAATCATATCTAGAAAATTAATCTTTTAGCATTTATAGAAACAAGATGCTGCTTTTCAACCCATTTTCAATTTTCTCACTTATACAATCATTGTTTGAGAATATTTTACTTATCATCGATACAAAAAAAAACATTTTTCTCACAGAGATTCTTCATTCCATGCAATGAAAAATTAGTTCTGCACTAAGTATAAGAACTGCAGCTGTCCAAAGAAATATTAATGTTTAATGAAAGAAAAGAAAATATCTAAACTTGATACTCTGTCACAGTGTGTGAAAAAAATCCAAAGTACAAAAATTGACTTTGGCAATTTTTAATTGGTATTCCTTTGTAATTGCTTAGCAATAATGAGTTATTGACTGAGGCTATAACCATGTTGTTGTAGACTCTGGTAATGTTGACATCAGAAAACATAAAAATGCTTCTACAATAGTTAATAGATCAAAAACATTGATGTCTGATATTTCTTTTTGATACTATATGGTAGTGCAAAGATATTTGGCTGTTTTTTTTTTATTAACTTCTGCATCTACTTGTACATTGAGTAATAGTTATTCATTCCTGAAAAATAAATGGTGGGCTTTGACCCTCCTCTAAATCTGCACCTGTTCATACAACATTATAGAATAGTTATTAATTACTGAAAAATTGGTGGGAGGTATAGCTCCCCCCCAAGAAAAAACAACAAAAAAAACAACATAATCCGCATTTGCTTATACAACATTAAAGAACATATTTAATTTCTGAAACAAAAAGGGATGAGTATGATAGCTATACCTGTTTATACAATATTAAAAAAATTAGAAACATAAAACAAATTTAAAAAATGGAAAATTTACACTTTATTTAACATTTAAGTAGCCAGAGAGTCGGTGCTGCCAAGCATTTGACTTCCCTCTAGTTAGCAGTTCAAAATTAGGGACAGTGGCAGATAGTTTAGTAAGTTTTCAAAAACAAAGTACAAGCAGTTTTTGAACCTGAGACCTTCAAATTATGAGTTGTCTCCTTTTGTAGTTTTGTGCTAAACAACAAAGAATCTTAATGGCAATACTTAGTTATTTTTGACATTACTTTTAGGTTTTGAGAAGTGTTTTTGTGATGTAACTGGTTTTCAGAGTACTATAAAAAGAAGTAACTATAGATTCTGAAATGTGTTTTTATTTTCATTTTTATTATATTATTATATATATATATATATATTTTGTTTTAGTTTCAACCTTCATAAAAGCATGCACATGAGTTTCAGCTGGAGCAGCCTTGTAAATTGCTTAATGAAATTAGAAACCAAAATTTAAGCTTTTTGTACTAATTTAGTATTTTAAAGGTTTGAGTGATATATTTTAATAAACATTGGAGTTGAAAGAGATAACGCAAATATTTTTTGATTTTGAAATTAATAATTTTGAAATTGATTTTTTTTTTGATAATATTAGATGTTACATTATTTGCTGTGTCAGCTAACCTGTATTTTTAATGAGTTGCTTGAATGATTTAATTAATGCAAATAATATATTAATTTGCTCGTAACTGCATGATCCCCCCTTTCTTGTAGAACCTACTTCGGCTCGTTCCTCACAGAACCCTTCCCCCATACCTATGCAGCGTATTGACTACATGGAAGGGCAGTTTCCCTCTAGCAGACCAAGTAGGTCCATTTATTAGTTTTACTGCATGTTTTGCAGTGGCTTTTTGTCAATAACTCTCCATCGGTAGAATTGTGAAATTTGTCTGTTTGTTGGTGGATTTGAGAGATGATTATTTGTTTTGAGAGAAAGTTTGTTTGAATTTGAAATCAGAAAATGTGTATAAACCATTATAGTATATAAACTTAATTATTTAGTTGTGAATCTATTAAGGAATATTTAAAATTATCATGTATAATACATATACATGTTTAACATTTGCCTTTTCATTCTATGCTACAGCTTACTCCAAAATAAAAATAGTGTTATTTACTAGTGTAGACTAAATGTATGATAAAGAAGCAAGTAAAATGTTATTCCTGGTTAAAATATATCATATAGGCTTACTTGATGTGGTGAAACATCTTATTTGACTTAAAATGTTTTTTAACACTTCCAGATGATTAAAGATGGAATTTTTAAAAATATATTTAATGTTATTCAACATTATTTGTATATTATGCTACTTTACTGTTTTATATGCAAAATAATTTCTGAATAACTTGTCTGTTTGGTAATAAAGTTATATTAAATCATTGCTTTGTTCGTATTTAATGTGATTTTGTTTTCTTTACATTTAACAGGTCCAGCTGCTTCAGCCACAAATCTACAGGCTTTAGATCGGGGTACAGGAGAACCTAGACAAAATGGTCCACCCACGATTTCAGGTCCTTACTCACAACCACCACAGACTATTCCACCTGTATCTACTAATCTACTTGTTTCTCAACCACCACAGCCATATTCTTCCCCTTTTGGTTTCAAGCCTCCATCTGTTAATGTAAGACAGGCTCAAGTTAGAACTAAATATCCACAACAAGTAAGTTTTTTTTTTTAATGCTTTATTAACCCTTTCACAATGGGTTTGTGTATCTTACATAACCTTATAACCACCATCTAATCATGAAAGTATACATAACTGAAAGTACTTAATGTAGCTTCACAAAATTTGGCAAGCTTTTAGTAAATATTATAAGTTTTTTGTAGAAAAAAATCTGAATTTTATTTAAGTATTTTTCTAAACATTTGTCTTTAAATATATCAGTGTTGACTGATCACATTGCAAAGTATTTTTCATGTCAAGATTAAAAATACTTTTCATCATATGAGAATTTTCAAAATATCTTATGCATAATCTCTAATACCTCCTAAATAACTAATAGACTTTGTTTAGAAAAGTTTATATTTTATCTGTTGTTTTCTCTGCCATAACTCTAAACAGAGTGGATTGATTTGACTGACCTCTTAACCACCAAAACTAAATTACTCTTTTTTTCTTTATAGAATAACTGTAAATTATTACAGGAAACCACGATTGTTTATCCTAAATAGCTTAAAGCTCATAACAGTATAAATCTATTTATGCTTAATTTTAGTGTTTTATTAACATTTGAATCATGTCTAACTTTTAATCTCACCAAAGAGTTGTAACTCATTCAGCAAAAATGCAGTTCACGCTATTGTATTCTATCATGTAAGGCATGAGCTGCTTGCAAGTGTATCTTGTGAAGAACTTTTATTATTTTTATCATCTTTGTACCTAGTCCAAACTTATCTAACCTAGTAAGTTTCTAGTTTTTACAATTTAGTTATTTTTATAATAATAAATAAAGAATACTCATGGAAAATAAGAAATAAAATACTTGAGTATTTAGTCTTAAGTTTACTTTTCTGTATTATTGGTTCTACTACACTGGACAACATTTCATTGAATAATTCACCTAAGAACATAGAATAATAATAACACACAAAAACAATGTTGTATAAATATTATAACTTTCTAACTGTGTGATAAGAACCTTCAAAAATTCAGATTAGCTTGTCGACGTAATACCTATGAGAAATATTTGAAACTGAACGATGAAATAGACTGTCCTGTATAGAAAACAACATAATAAAATACATCATTTGATAGATTAAAACTTTGGTTTTTAATTGGTTATAAATGATGTAGTATAAAATGTCAGAGAGAACTTTTAGCAATTTGTGATAGAGAGGATGTGACAGGTAGGTGTGGCAAGTGGTTTATTTTCTAGTTTGTGGCTCTAAACAAATAGGATTGAAGGCTATAAAAAGTATTCTTTGCCTGAGTAATATCTATATTATAATAAATAACTTTCATTAAATTTCATACTTCTCAGAGGGATGGTAAATAAATATTAAAGAAGAGAGAAGACCTAGACAGCAAATGTTACAATTTTCGTACCAGAGAGATTGAGGATTTTTGAAACATTTCCTTATAACATTAAGAATGTAAAACTTGTATAATATTAATATTTGATGTATTAGCTACATTATGATGCCTAGTTTATTCATTTACCTTGATAATAAGTAGCTTAATTAAATTTTGATGTAAACTTTAAATAATATGAAAGGTTTTCTTCTTTTCCAGATTAGATATAATCAAATTTCACAGCCATCTAGTCAGTTAATGAGACAACCTCCACCTCAGGCAAATAATGCTGATCCAACTCAACAGTATTTCTCACCTAAGCTTCCTGAAGGGCCTGTTGGGGGAGTTGTAGGTGGTTATGATCCCAATCTTCATGCTCAAATGACTGGGATGAGCATTCATGGTAGTTTTTCTCGAATGTGGGTATGTATAAAGATTTTTTTCATATTGAGTGTAGAAAGGATCATATTTTTTAAAAAGGAAAAACAATAAAATAACAAATTTGGACACATTTAAAAAATATTTTATTGTTGAAATTAAGCAAGACTAAGTCAATGTCACATCTTTTACAATAGTGTTGTCATGATATAAAATTTTGTTGGTATGATAACTGTTTGAGAAAATATGAAACACTGTAGTTATCCATATTATGAAATAGTGGTATTTTGTTAAGCAAATATAAGTTAAAGAAAGTAGTAATAAAATTAAGTTTGAAAATAGGTATTTAAAAAAACAAAACATTCTCATGTTGTAGTCAAAGAAATGCAACTTGAAGTGAAGTCAAATGATTCCTAAAGTGAAAGTAAGGAATTTTTTTAAACTGGAAATAACATGTTTGTAACTGGTAACATTGCATGTACAGATATAATGAAAGAATGAATGATGTAAAAAGGTGTTTCTTGCTCCTGTTTTTCATGTGGTAAATGATACTTTACTGACACTTAAAGGAAGAAAATTAAGCAAAGTTTATGAAATGTGTATATTTGGGTACAATGTGATGTTAACATAGCAAAGAAGTGTTTGTGGTTTGGAGTTTCATAGGTAGACCTTGCTTAAAAATTATTTTTGTCTTTAGGGAGAACTGGTGATCTGTCGTCATGTTTATTTGTCTTGGACCTATGTTAATTATACATGTTGTAGTAATGCATTGTAGGTTGAGGTAATGTAGGGTTGATTAATAAATTGTTAAGTGTGGTGTAATGAAGACTTACAAATATGACAATTTCTCAAATTCAGTTTATTTATTGGGAATTCACATAAGATGTCTGAGCACATATTTATACGAAGTTGTATCGCTTTTTTGGTTTCATAACATTTTGATATATAAAGAACAACACTGCCCGGAGTCCTGCCTGAGCTAGAAATACCAATGTGAAATGCAGCTTATGGTGCACACTGCTTTGATTAAATAGACTTGCAAGTTTCAAAGCATTGAATGAATGTAATTACAATATACACACACACACACACACACACACACACACACACACACACACACACACACACACACAACAACAATATGTACGTATACGTCGTATACACTTACTATTATAACGTAAGTTATACTATTATAGTATATCGTACTTTACTTGAGACTCGTACCGAACGGCACC